CTCCTACTACTAATCCAAACGGGAGAGAGTTATATCCCTGTTTATGCTTGGAATGAAACTTCTCTCTACAACAATTTTAACATTTCCGGGAATTAGAATCTTTGGGGTTACTGTCAATAGTTAAAGAATGAAAGGTTTAACTTATTAAGACTTCAGGCCTCTTATTATAGTGGAGAAGGTAATTTTTATTGTGTCTAAACATCACACTGTGCACCTGAGGTTGGCTTTCATCCTTACAGGCTACCTGGAGTCTAGGGGTGAATCAGAAAGGATAGTTGAGTGTCTGAGCTAGCCTATTCCTTTCGCATCTTCAACAATTCACCTCCCATCCTTCTACTCTAAGATTCCCAGATGCCAGGGGCATGAATCTGCTCATACTGTCCTTCTAACGTGCCCCACGCCAGTGCCTTGATATGGGCTTTCACCTTCTCTGTTCAGTCCCCCTCATCATCACTATAAGCTATGCTAGCTGAATCGCTGATCTAAAACTCTCTAGCACTCAGGGCACTGAGGAGCGCATGGGAAGCAGGTGGCAGCAGTGTGACAGGTGATGCAGGGAAGGAATGGCAGGATGGGAGGGATCTCAGCCTTTAGGCATGTCAGGTTGAAGGCAAGTCAAACTCCAACATATAAGGAAGAACGTATTTTTTACAATGTGTGACAGGAGCACAAATGTGTCTATCAGCTTAAAGGTGGTAATCATACGTGGAGGGAAAAAGTCAACACTACTGAAAGCTCCTCACAACCAGCAATGAAGTAAAAAGAGATGAACTAACTCTGGCTGGGGAGCTTTGCATCAGGTGTGAGGCTGGACTTGATAAGCTTTAAGATGGATTTCTTCGCGGATTCTCCCTAAGTGGGATTGATTAACAGGGACCAGTATCTACTTTAGGGGGTGCTTTGGGACTAAAGGAGCATTTGGCACATAGGTAAGAGAACTCAAAGATAAAAATTCCAAATGAGAGCCCTCAAGAGGTCGCACTCAGACAGCTAGATACATGAGGCCAGTGGTTCAGTGCTATGACTGAGGGGGTGCTACTCTACACAGGCCCACCTACCTTGTTCTCCAAGTCATTTGGACAACTGGCCCCTACTCCTGGCCCCTATGTTGGCTCACCCCTCCCTATATGACAAGTGCAGAATGTATAAGCCTCTAAGAGGCTACCCATTCAAGGTTCCAGACACACATGCTGCACTGTCACTTGACTCCTTGGAAATAAATCTTAAAACTTCCCACCAGTCCTCATAAAGTAAGGTTATTACACAGGATTTTTCTTCTTTCTATAAAGGCATGTTCCAACAAAACTTCAAGATCACCATAAATACAACTGTTGAAGGCAATAAATAAGTAATTTAATGATATAAAACATGTAGCTTTTTCATTAAACTATCAGTTCTTTCCTTACCCTGAGTAGTTCAAGGAATCAAAAGTGTTAAATTGAATAAGTGATACCAAAGATCCTTGAACAGGATAGAAAAGAAACATCCAAAAATAAAGAATTAAGTAAAAACGTTACAAAAATGTCCTATTTACCAGACTTTCCATAGAAGCTTGACACATCGCAAAAATCTGCTTTTAACCTTGGTAAAGCAATTAAAAGGTGATTTTCAGTAACTCCACGGCATGAATCAAATTACTGTTGGAAAGATAAGTATTTGAAATTAATGGCTACAGAGACTTTCAACTCCCAACTCCCTGCAAACCCACCAAAGTCTTCTTTACTGTTCTTTGATCCTCTGTGATAGAGAAACAAAGACCATCCTTTTTAATTCCAAGAAAATCACATGGATGCTTTGTTTCTTCACTTAAAAAAAATGACATGATTATATTTGGGCTATTAATGAGTTCCATATGAATTAAATTTAACTTATAACTCAATCAATTATTATCTATTTCTCTTAAAAAAACACAAATCAACATATAAGTGGGTAAAAAGAGATTAATCTGGGTTCTTTTATTCATATTTATGTCTCCAGGCAGAGCCACATCTGTGAGGGACCAATTCCTAAATTCATCCAAATACTTGAACATTTTATTGCTGGCACTGCTATCTGAACTGCCAAGCAAGCCCACATAAAAAGGCACCATTAAAGAGCAGCAATTTAGTTATCAGTGATACCATAAGTTATCAACAATTCAGTAACTCAACAAATAGTACTAGACACTCTGCTAAGTGCTGGAAACATAATGGTGAGTGAAATGATTCCTGCTCTCACAAAGTTTACAGTATGGTAAGGGGAAGAGATATCAATCAATCATATAAGGAGTGTAATTAAAAAGTGAAATAAAGCTTACAAGGAAAAAGAACACAATATAAAGTAAAAGAATCTGATCTAAACAAACAGTGGGCATCGGAGAGGGCTTCCCTGATGCTTGAGCTGAGACCTGCAGGACTGGAGCAAGGGGGGAGGTATGTGAGGGAAAGGGCAGGCATATGAGGATTTCAGGCCAAGGGAAGAGCACCTGAAAGGGCCTGGGGTAAAGGTAAGCCGCATCCTCAAGGAAGTCGAAGGCAGGCCACTGTGTTTAGAGCACAGGGAACTAGGGGTACAAGGATAAGAAAATGGTAAGTTTTTAGAAAGGTCTTAAAATAGGAGGCAGGCAAATGGCCTCTACTATAACTTGGGTTCTGGTGGGGCTTCAACAACATAATGCCTTTAAAGGAATTTTGTAAATTGTAAAGCACCCTTACTTTTGTAAGTACTATTTACTTCCACTACTTTGTTTTCTAAATAAACTTTCGGCCTGGATGCCAAGGGACAAGCCAAAAGCAGAAGAGCTAAAACTAGAACCCCAGTGTTCTAATCCAGTGTTTTGCCCCATACCACACTGCCTAAAAATTTCACTGTTTATATCACTTAACTAGTCCAATGTTTCTACCAGACAACTAGTGCTTCATAATGACAACTCCAAATATGAGTATGTCAGGCAATTTTCTAAGCTTTTTATTTACATTAACTTATTTAATCATCAATTCTAGAAAAAAGGCTCTATTATTGTCCAGATGAAAACACTGAGGCTCAAAAAAGTTAAGAAAATTATTCAAAGTCACACAGCTGGTAAATCTTGACATTGTTAACCACAACACTATTTAGCTGCTGCTTAAAACATTTTACGTGTGTGTATGTACGTATGTGGGGGGAGTGGAGAACAGAACTCACCTGTATAAAACCACATTCGCCTAATTGAGGACACCGATCAGCATATTGGTCACCTAGTGCCTAGGGTGTTAGTGGGGCCTGGCAAATACTTTACGAACTAAAGATGGATATAAAGGACTAACAAAAGACTTGAATCTAGAAGTAAAGTGATTTTCTGATGCTTTCCCCCTCAGTCATGTAATTCATCAGCAATTCACTTGATAGCTGTATTTTCCTTGTCTACTTTTTTATTGTTACATTGAAGATTTGTTCTCCACTACCTTTGTCATACTTCACAGACTTTAGCCTGGAGATAGAGTGGGATTATGGAAAAAGGACAATGAACTAGTTCCAACCACTTTCCAGCCACAACTGGCCTGTTCTCAGTCACTCCAGACACTTTCCCTCCTGGGCCTCGCTCTCCAGAACACTATTCCTTCCTTGGGTTCCTCCGTTCAAACATCACCTTTCCCGAACATCCAATCTAAATTAGTCTCCTCAGGCCTTCTTTAACACATCACTCAGTTTCATTTCATTTCTTTCATGAAACTGACCACTCTTTAATCATCTCTTTAATGTCTATTCACCCCAACTCCCAATTCTAGGAGGGCAGGGGCTTTGTCTAGGTGGTTCTCTGGATGTATCCTCCAGTGCCCCAAACTAGGCAAATATCCATTTAATCAACGAATGAGAATTACTTCAGATTTGTCTCTATCAAGCCCTCAATACCCTTAAGCTTTCCAGTCCTGGTGGCTCTACACCCCATTTTCAACAGGAACACCATCTCTACATTACTTGGAGGTTCACAAAGTAACCTGGACTCCATTTTCTGAGCAGAGCCCCTAAAACGATCTCTCCCCATTTTACAGTCCAGGAAATTGAGCCTCGGAAGGGATTCGCCCGCAGCCATGCCGAAAACACGGGTAGGAGCCCCGACGGGTGTCCAGGTTCCGAAAAGCCCTTCCCACGAGCCAGCGCCGTGGATTCAAGGTGCTTCATCACCTTTATTACTATTGTTCTACCGCACTCATTCAGGACGCGTTCCAGGCCAAGGGAAGCCGCCCGGCCCCTCGCGGTGTCCCCGAGCGCCCCAGACTCTTAACCCAGGCCGCGCCCCCGCGCGCCCCGCCCCCGGCCCCGCCCCCACCGCCCCGGCCTCACGCCGCGCCGCGGCCTCTGCTCCCGCCCTGCCTGAGCTCCCGCGCCCCGCCGGGGCCGCCCCCTCCCGCCCGAGCCAATCAACAGAGCCTCGGGGGTCGGAGCCAGAGGTCCCAGTCCTCCTATCTGGGCATCAATTGGTCGGGACAGCTGTCGCTCACGAAGTCGCGTCCCGCACCCGCCTCCCTCCTTTTTCTCCACCCTCCCTCTAGAAAAAACGGCGGTTGGGCCGCGGCGGTCTCCAACGGCGGGCGGGAAGCGGAGGGGCGAGGAGCCGGGGAACTAGGGAAGGAGGGACTGCAGGGAGGAGGAGGATAAAAGAGAGGAGGAGGGGAGTCTGGCCCAGCCGGAGCCGTCTCCATCGAGAACAAAATGGCGGCGCTGGCGGAGGGCCAACTGTGAGGCGGGGCCGCGGCCGCGGCCATTCCCCCTCCGCCCCCACCCTCGCGCCGGCCGGGCCGGTCAGGGGGAGCCTGCTCTCTTCGCCCGGCCGCGGGCGGGGAGGGGAGGGAAGCGGCCCGGCCCACTATGCAAAGCGTCCGGCGGCGGCGGCGGCGCCGCCGCCGCCGCCGCCGCCGCCGCCCCGTGGCAAAGGTAAAAGGGTCGGGTTCAGCCGCCGTCGCGGCGGCTCCATGTCCGCGCGCCAGGCCCGCCCCCTCCGCCGCCGGCCCGAGCCCGCCCCGGCCCCTTTTCAATTTTACCTCAGGATTTGGCGCCAAAGCAGCCTCGAAGCAGGTCCCGTGTCTGCGGCGGGCGGCCCCCGACGCGGAGGGCAGGGCGCGGGGAGGCCGGCCTCCCGGCGTTGGCGGATGGCGGGAGCCCCGGGGCCGTGGGCTCGCGGGGCGGCAGGCGAGAGACGAGACGCCGAGGTGGGAGCGGGGGCGGCGGGGGCGGGCCCGGGGGCGCCGCCGGGGTCGCGGGGAAGGGGGGGTTTGTTATTGTTTTTGTCAGTGAAAGGTCAGAGTTCGTGACCCCGGTGCCGCCGCCGCCGCCGCCCGCGCGCTGGTAGGAGGAGGGCGAATGTTCTTCTTCCTCTTCCCAGCGCCAGCCTCGCCGCGGCCGCGGGGGGCGGGCGAGCACGCGATTGGCTGAGGCGCGCGCGCGCACCGGAACGCCGCGGCCGGCGCTAGTCCATCCGGCCCCTCGGCGGCCCGCGGGCCCGGCGGCGAGCGGGCGGGAGTTGGTGTCGGCCCTGGTGGCCGGGGAGCCTCCGCCCCGGACTCGGTTGGCACAGCTGCTAGGCGAAAATGAAATTTCAATGGCGCGGACGCCTCTGTTTTCAGGGCAGAGGGCCGATTGGTCGTCTTAAAACTCTGGGAACGCGGCGCACCGTTATTCGGGTGCAAGCCCGCGCTTCCTGGGGGACCGCGAGTTCCTCGAGGCTAGGTGGTTTCTGTGTTCTCACTGTGATAGCCTCCATCCCGGCCTCCCGCTGAGCTGAAGCCTCTGTTGATTGAAGAAGCAGTCTCCCAGCAGAGAGCCTGTAGGTTAAGTGGGTGGTTTATTGGTGGGTATTGAATTGTTTGTGCCCTACTCTTTACGGATGGTTTTTATTTAGGTTTTAAAGGTCGCCAGCTTCTGGCAGTATTAGGTAAAGTTTTGAAATCGTCCAACACCTGTTATTTATGGTCTTTTAGTGAACACGTGACCCAAATCTTAAGTCCTTTCCACTCTCCCCGCTCTTTGGAACTAGTGAACGGTGATACATAAGTGTGTGTAAAACAACTGCAAAATTGCTTCTCTTGGTCTTAGGAATTTTGGGTTGTAGGTTTTCTTTAGATATTTCTCTCTTTTTAAGTCGTGGTTTTGACTTGCTTTGGGAGGTGTGGACCGCATATTTTTCCTAGAGGCCCTGAAATGTTTTGGTTAGACTCTTCCTTGATCGTCATGCTTTGGAGGAAGATTCCTTGCTAATTGATTTTTTTTCTTGCATTTTTCTTGTTTGTTATGAATAAATACTGATCCCAAGATGGATGGGTTAACCTTTTTTCTTAAACATTTGTGCTTTGATCAGGCTGACCCCAACTTTGAGTAATTTGTCCGAAATCTTATATTTCTATTTGATAGGAAATGCTTTAAACACACCAATTTTTTCTTTTCCCATGTTCTCACCTCGAAAAGAAGTGGGGAAAAGAGTTAAATTTGTAATGTCTTCCCTAAAGCTGGAAGGGGCCTCAAGAAATGATATGGCCCAGTCCTCTTCTGGCAGGAAGATCTTACAGGAGAGGTGGGTGAGAACCAGAAAGTTCAAGTGATGTGCCTATGGTTACACAGTATTTTGATGGTAAATCCTTGTAAACATGGACTGTTTTTACATTTGTATTCTTTTTCAAAAATTAGTTTTTTAACGTTAAATAAACGTTAAAAAATAAACGTTTTTAACGTTAAATAAACGCTTCCAGATACAGTGTAAAAATTCATACATCAGTTTTGGGTTTTTCTTTTTTGCAAACACATTACAATTGCACTAATTTTGAAGTAAATATTAAACAATCATTAATGTTTCTATGATGGCCTATCATTAGCACTGTGAACAAGGCACAGTTACTTCATTTTACTGAGGTGTAGGAACTGAGGCCTGGGTAAGGTAAGCAATCTGCCAAATGTTACAGATGCAATAAGGGAAGCCAGAGCTGTGATTTAGTCCTTTTGACCTTAAGGTTTATGCTGAGCTGTGATCTAGTCCTTTTGACCTTAAGGTTTATGCTGTAAAACCATGCTGTATCAGTGGCCAGATGTTCACTTAAAGGTTAGTTGTTTAATATTAAAAGTAGTGTAGAGAGGTGCCTGGGTGGCTCAGGTGGTTAAGCGGCTGCCTTCAGCTCAGGTCATGATCCTGGGGTCCTGGGATGGAGCCCTTCCTCTCTCCTTGCTCAGCAGGGAGTCCGCTTTCCTTCTCCCTCTGTCCTTCCCCTGCTCATTCACTCTCAAATAAATAAAAATTTTTTTAAAAAAAGTAGTGTAGAAAGTGTTCATAATCTTGGGCAGTTTTTCTTCCCCGGAAAACAGATGCACACGTACAGAGACAGATTGCAAACAATATCAGCAGGTAACAAGCCTCTGCAAGCTGAAATCAGTGCTGCCGTAGTGCCAGTTTTTTTTCTCCATTGTGTTTTTGCTAGAAGTCTTTAAAATATATATATATGTTTATTTATTTATTTTTATAGAGTGCACATGCGAGGTGGGGGGGTGACAGAATCTTAAGCAGGCTCCACTCAGTGTGGAGCCCATCTCGGGGCTCAGTCCCATGACCCTGAGATCATGACCTGAGCCGAAATCAAGAGTCAGATGCTTAATAGACTAAGCCACGCAGGCAGGCACGCCTCGATAGAAGTCTTTTTAGTGAGAGTGTTTTAGCAGCTTTAATCACAAAAAAAATATTCAAGTTGTGTCATACTAGCTATACTTTTTTTTTTTTTACTGTTAATGAGTATCCACATTTTTATCAAGAGTGCTTTTAACATTGTTTTATCTGCCTTTAAATATTAAAGGGTTCTTGACTAAGGGGTGCAGTAAAGAACTGCCAGGCCCCAGTGGTTGTGAAGCATTAAGCTTTGGGTGGGGCCTGGCATCAGCACTTCTGAGCATCACAGAGAATTCTGATGTACACTACCAGCCTGAGCCACTGATTAACTCCAAAAAGGCATGGCAAAAGAATAACAAGACAAAACTTTCCATTTTTTGAAATGCAGTTGTTGGTTTTTTCAAACTGACCACTCCTGAAGATTATTCATTCACAGGGACAGGGGCTTGACAGGATTGATGATACCCAGCTGTTGTGTGTGCATCTTCTTGGCACCCACCCAGACGGTGAGCTCTGTATCGAAATGTGCCTTGTCCCTCTCTCTCTCAGCCCTTACCACAGTACCTAGTAAAGATGGGTATTTCTGAATCCGTGCTTTGCCCAGCAACAGTATATGGTGAACAATATTCATATTATCATCCCACTTTTAAGCTGAACTCAGTGAAAACAAAGTTTGGTGACTTCCTTGAGCTGGGATGTGAGCCTGGGGCTGTTCGCTCCTTGCACAGTGCCCTGTGGATGAGACCCAGGTGTTCCTTTCTCTTCCCTCTCTGTTCTCTGGGCAGGTATTTTTTTCACAACACTTAACTAGTGTGTTCTTCACTCAGTCATTAAGTAACTTGTCTGTGAGCTCCTTGAGAGCAGGAACAATATCATGCAGTTTCATTTTGTGCATAGGACAGAGTAAACATGTTTTTTGCCATCCAGGGTTATTTAAATAATAAATGTCAATGAAAACCAAATTTTGGTTAAATAATAGTTGTATATGTGCTAAAATTTTCCAGTTATTATTAAGCAAAGTTTGTTGTTTTTTTTTAACTTGTAAAGATACTGCTTTTTTGGTAGCAGAAATGATGGTTTTTCCTTATTTTTTGTAGACTGTGGGAAGGCTTAATTGCCTTCTTAAGTATTTATGTATATTTTTGTATCAGCTTTTCTGTAATAGCTTATGCTTTATTGCTATGTATAGTAATTTATGAAACTTACATTTATATCATTTATATAATTATGATATTTATAAAATAAACTGTTAAACCTGATATAATTCTTTTTAGCCTTATTTTTGAAGTGTGGAATCTAAACAGATGTAATCAATAAGTACCAGATTGCCTGTTCCTTATACTCACATTATCCTGTTAAATCTTCACAATAACTTTGTGAAGTGGATGGTATTATCTTGTTTTTATAGCTGAAGAGGCTGAGGCCTTAAACAGGGGAGCATGACTTCTCCAAAGTCACATGGTTGGCAGGTGGTGGAACATTTATTCATAGTTATTTCTGCTTATTTCTCTTCTGTCCTTGAGAACTTTGAAAAGAAAACCGTCTTCCCACCTCCATGATTCTGTCAGAGTCAAGCTCTGTCACAGTAGAAGGCTATTTGGAGAGGTCTCAGATTCTGTGTACTTGGCCCTTGCTTTTCCCAGGAAGAGAAAAGAGACTGAGCCTGTGGTAGACTGGTGGGAGTGGAACGCAGGGACACTGTGAGAGTGAGTTCCTGAGTCCCCTCCAGAATGGCTTTTGCTGGGAATTTCTGACCTGAGGCTTCCTGGGCCTTGAAAAGGTATGATTTCAAAGTTGTATTTGGCTCAGGTATCTTGGAACATGTGGAAAGTTAGATTATCTTCTCAGAAAAATGTGCCTGCCCTTGGTGCCTTGTTTTAGAATGCAGCTTGCCTAATTAGGAACTCTCAGTCTTGAGGTTGGGAGTTCTTCACTAGCCCAGCCCCACCACAAGAGTTAATCACCGGGGCCTATTGGCCTTTTACTCTCGAAGTCTGAGTACTGACCCTGCTTGAGTTTCTTAAAGAAGAGATTATTTCAGTCCCACAGCCTATTCACTGCCGGCCAGGAAATGTACCTCAAAGCCAAAAGTCTCTTGGAAAAGTCTTCCCCTTCAGTGCTTTGCTTTGCATCCTGTACTTCACCTTGGGGAGGGCTAGGATGCTACCCTGAGGCTTCTGGCCTTGGGGACGCTCTGGGCACATTGTCAGGACTGGGTCTACACACAAATCCTCTTGGTTCTGCCCTCACGGTTGGCCCCTCCTCCACTGTTCTCTAGTTTAGGTCTTCTCTCTGGCCTGCTGTCATGGTTTCTTAACCTTCCAAACCAGTCTGCCAGCTGCCCCCTCCCCACCCACCGCCCTCCCCTTTTCCCTCCCACTGCCTGAGTGTTCTGCCAACAGCCGGTTCTAGCTCTCTTTACCAATAAAGTTCTTCAGTGGCTCTGCATTGCTTAGGGCTGAAGTGAAAACTCAGATGCCTAAAGCGAGGGCAGTAGGGGTTGGGTCTGGCAAGTGTTCTAAAGGAGGTCAGTAAGCTGAGATAAACACTATTAGTATGTTAAATAGTCATAGTGACACCTAGGGAGCTCACTAGACTTAAAGGGGCAGCCCCTCATCAGCATCTGGAATGCAGCCAGAAATGGATTTTTCAAGAGAAGCCAGAAATCCAAATTTGTAAATGAAATCTCTTGGTTTTGAAATGTTAGCAGTTTACAAGTGG